CATGACTCAATCTCTGTATCCCAGAGCCCTGTAGTTCCAAGGTTGTGCATACATCATTCTTTATCTGTGTCCCACTTAGCCCATTTAAACATGCCTAATTGTTCTCACATTTCCCTCTCCCTTCTTGTATATTGCCCCCCTCCTCAGCACCCAAACTTTCCTGTGTCTAATCCCGGCCCTGTTCTCCACCTTTCCCTCCCTCCCCTCACCCACCACCAACTTCCCAGCAATCAACAAAGAATTCCCCCTACCTCCTTTTAGTATGGTTTATTTTTCTTAGTCTTTTACAGTAGTGGTCCTATGCAGTATTTCTCTTTTTGTGAACCACCAACTTTTTGTCTATTAGTCAGATGCTTAATTTTTGACAGGACTCTCTCATATAGTTTGTGGTAAAATTGCATTATCTTTTTGTTGTTGTTTATTTCATTTTACTTCTGAAGAAGGGCAGTGATACAATCAAAAAGAAGTTATTACAGTAAACACATAGGTAGGGTCTTAATGAGAGCAGTGACTAATACTATTTCTACATCAGCCCAGGGCAATTAGTGACATTCTAAAATTATATGCACAATCTTCATGTTTCATGCATAAGAAATAGGAATTCAATGTTTTTGACCTATTTGGAGCATGTAGTACATAGATGCATATGAAAGTATTTATCATCTCAGTAATATTTTAGTCATAAAACTGCCAAATAAATCTATATCTAAGATATTTTAAGTGTAGCTTCTTGTCTGTATGCCTCCAAGTCTTCACTTCTTCCTTAGTACAATACTAGATACATTGCATATGTGATCATCTTAATGGGGAAGATTGTTATACTATGGCAGCCGCGTAGGTTGTTTTTCCCCAATTATTTTTTTATTCAGATTCAACTCATACTTGAGGTGGGGTTTCCATATATATTATCATAATTTAGTGCATACACATATATACCTTTAAGGAATAACAATACTATTTTATGTTGATTTTTTTTCACAACTGACTGGTGCTATTTGAAGTAGAGGAATTAAAGAACATTTTATTTATACTATATTAACATGCAGTATATTATGTTATTCTAATTCTGTGTTCTCTCTCGCTTCTGAAAACTCTATAAGAACTGGCACCAAAGCTATCATACGCTCTGTTTAACTCAGAGGACAAAGCTAGAGCAGTAATTTTCTTTTTTATGTTTTTATTGTGAATTGAGTTATTGGTTTACATGGGGGAACATCAGTTTTACACTCATAATTTCATTGCAATGATTACAGTCTCCTCTGTGCATCATCATTCAACAGTATTTAGCGCAATAGTTTTCATACTATAGATCCAATATCATAAAGTCAGAATTTTGATGGCAAGTTTTCAGAATTTGCATTGTGTTTAAGTGCCATCAAGTCAGATCCAATTCACAGTAAACCCACATAGGGTTTTCAAGGAGCAGCTGGCGAGCCCAGCTTAACAACCACCACCACCACAATTTAATTACATAGCACCAGTCTCCTAAAAACATGGTTCATATTTCATTATTTACAAAGTTTATTAACTGAAAGTTAATATTGAATGAGTTAATACATGTAAAATGCCCAGAATAGTGTAGGCAATTATATAATATTTTATTGTGCTGATATTAGTTTTAAGGAACTCTGGTAGCGTAATGGTTCCGAATTGGGCTGCTAACCTCAAGGTTGGCAGTTTGAAACTACCAGCTGTTCCGCAGGAGAAAGATGAGGTTTTCTGCTCCTGTAAAGATTTACAGCCTAGGAAACCCCTGTGCAGGGTCACTATGAGTCAGAACCGACTCCACAGTACTTAACAACAACAACAATAGCATTAGTTTTAATTAATAATTTCACTATTATGAATGATATTAAGGCTAACCTGAGTTCTGGAGTCCTGGTGTGGTACTGTAGAATAAGCACTAGACTGCTAACCAAAAGATTGCTGGTTCAAACCCACCAGCTGTTCCTCGGAAACACTATACAGGGTCACTATGAGTCAGAACCAACTCCACAACACATAACAGCAACAACAACCTGAGTTCTGAGCACTGGACGCCACAGATCTTAAGATATATAGGAGGAAGAAGAGGTTTTCTTTTCTCTCGTATCTCCAAAGTCTGTTTCTTCACTTCCTAATGGTGGCTTAGTGGTTAGGAGTTGAGTTGCTAACCGCAAGGTCAGTGGGAAAAAGATGAGGCTTTCTGTTCCCAAAAGATTGACAGCCTTGGATATCCTACATTAGGTCGCTATGAGCTGG